AGAAAAGCATCCATTTAAAACACAAATGAGTGCTGGGGATTTAGCTCAGTGATTCTGCTACCTGCCTCACAAGTGCAAGGTCCTGAGTTCGAGCCCCAGTACCAAAAAAACCCCACAAATGATGAATGAATTAGATATACAGTAACCTAAAAAGACAACGTATATACATTTGAGGAAGGCTCATCAGGTGTATTTTTAGATACAGTACTTGGACATTAGGTCACCCTCAGCTTGTTTTACCTGTTAACCTGCAAGGCTGCCTCTTGCCCATGCTCCCCTAGGACAGAGATTCCCAAAAGATGTATTATACAGATTAGACCCAAAGTTATAGTTCATACTAAATACAGAAGGCAAGTGAAGGTATTCCAAATTGGGAACAGGACAACAACAGGCAAGCCCCTCCAGAGCTGACCATTCCCTAACTCTTACCAACTAGCTCACAACTGACCATGTTTCATCAAGTGACCATTTTGCTAAGTAGCCACTTCCTTTAAATCTTGTGACTTAGATAGACCTGGCTTTCAGATGATTGCTGATAAGGTGACATTTGTAGAACCACAGGGCATGGCTAAACATTAGACTGTTCCTGTCACCTTAGGTCTTAGACAAGGAAGTGGCATTTCTTGCAATTGAAAGGAATAACAATGAGTGGTGGGTTTAAAGTTGCAAATTAACAGAGGATCATGAAAAGCTTACCTAGCTATGAAAGTAGGGCATACAAGTGGTTTCATTAAAAAATCTCCATGGAGGCTGGGCACGGTAGCACGTGCCTGTAATCTCAGCACTTGTCAGGCTGAGGCAGGAGGACCACTCCGAGTTTGAAGCCATCCTGGGCTACAAAATGAGCTCAAGGCTACCCTGAACTACATGGCGAGATCATCTCATTAAATAAGTAAGTAAATAAATATTTTAATGTTTAAAAATCTCCATGGAGGGCTAGTGTGTGGCTCAGGGTTTGATCCCCAGCACCCACCAAAACAAAAAACAAAACTTCAGAGGGCACTACTTGATGCTTAGGAAACAGAAGCTTATCTGTGATAGTCTTACTGGCTAGGTGTGTGTGGGGGTGTTTAACACCTCATTAGGAAAAACGGCTATTCTCTAGTTTCTTTTGGGAAACTGACCTCAGAGATACTGCTGGTATCTAGGTATTTTTCCTTGACTGTTCTAAGCAATTTTAGGTGATATAAAGGTTTTGCAGTTATTCACATGACAAAACAAACAGAAGTTGACATTTCTAGCAAAGCAGATAGTATCTAGAAACTTTATTGAAGCCACAAAAAATATGCATGCCTTGGAATGTTTATTAGGCTACAATATTACTTCTGGTTACTGAACTTGAAAATATCTGTATTTTAAAATTCCCACACATTTGTTGCCCAAAGAGTTTAGGAAGCACAGCGATATATTATCTACTTTTCTCACAGTCTGCCTGCCAATCAAGCTATTTTTCAGTAGTTATAGCAACTTTCAACTTTCCATTAGGAGAAATAAAAAATTCTGTTCCTACATAACTAGTAATGCTGCCCAGAAGTGAGGGTCTCATGTTTGACTTCTAAGCCCCCGAATTTAGAGAAACTGGACTGAAAAGAGGCCATGGTTCATAATTATTAATACCTTCTAGATGTGTGAAATGTTTCTGGAGGAGGGTGGTTGAGACATCTTGCTATGTAGTCCAGGCTGGCCTCAAACTTGTGATCCTGCTGTGTCAGTCTCCTGAGTGCTGGGATTATAGGCATGCATCAACACACCCAGCTAAAATGTGTGAATTGTGAAGTGCTCACTGACTTCTCTCTCATGAAATGACCTCTTGAGGGGATGCTGACTAACCTCTAAGTGGAGAACTGGCTGGGGTCTTTTTGTGCCCTTTGGGTCTTTAAATATTGGGTTGCCATCAACTAGAAATCGTTAAGTAAAGCAAGTAGTTGCAAATGTGCATGGACAGGTTCTGATTCTGCTGAATACGATCAATCACCAAGCTTAAAGGCTACCTTACATAAACAGCAAGTCTGGGTACTAAGGTCAATTTGAAATAGGCCTGAGTGAGCCATCCAAATTGGCATGGAGATGGTTTCAAGCTATTCTTTTCACACTAAAATTTCTGAAATTCACTCAAGATTTCTAACTAATGAATTGTTTGTTAAAAGGTTAAGAAAACAAACCATTAAACCTAGGCTCACTTTCTTTTTTCCTAGCACAGTGTGAGATTGAATCCAGGGGATTCACACTGAATTATATCTTCAGCCTTTCATTTAATCTTGTACTTTGAGACAGTGTGTCTCTAAATCGCAATTAAATTGCACAGGCTAGGCCAGAACTTGTGACCCTCCTGCCTTAGCCTCCCAGAGTGCTAAGATTATAGGCATGCTTCACTACTTGAGGCTTACAAGCTCACTCTTCAGGTAACATTTGGGAATTCTGAAGGTGCAAATCAGTTGTCACTGATTCACTGAGGTGATAGCACTAGGGTTCTAAGCTATAAAAGGTTCTTAATCTTTCCTAAAAGCTATATCCTCTGTCCTTTCTCTGGATCATACTTTTTTTTTCCTAAGAAAATAATCGTGAGCTGGGTGTAGTGGTACCTATATTCCTATAATCCCAGCACTCTGAGAGGATGAGACAGGAGAATTGCAAATTCAAGCCCAGTTTGGGCAACTAAAAAAGATAGGGCTGGAGATATAGCTCAGCACAAAGGTCATGAGGTTGAATTGCTAGTACCATGTTTATCCCCCGCAAAAGGAACGCAGGCAGACTGGCAAAATGTATTACCAGAATAAACAACTGGTTCTGTCCTTACATGAAATAAATTATGGCAGTCAGCCTTGAGACTGAAAAGAAAAAAAAAAAAAGAATAAAAAATTAGAGCAAGAAAACTTCCATACCTTAAAAACAAAACACCAAAATGACATATATAATATTGGAAGACCAAGTGGAAGGCTAAGGTAATGATCAAAATAAGAAAAGCTTTTATGTGAAGTGATCTTCGTATACTGTTTATGTTAAAACAGAGTTCAATTTGCTCTATTTCTAAAATTTTCAAAATAGTTCCTGTAAAAGTAGTACGTACTCATGAAAAAATCAATGAAATTTTGACACATCAAATATTTATAGAAAATAAAAATCTCACTAACCTGAGACCACAACAGCTTGATTAGTGTTTCTGTAAAGACATATGCTTTCAATGTTTGCACTTTTATAAATAAAAATGGCACATTACCTTTAACATTAACAGTATTGTAGCAGTATTTCAACATCAATGACTATAGATTTTAATAGCTATACAGTATTTAATTCTTGTCAATTCTGTTTTGCCATGCTATTACAATATTACAACAAAAATCTATGCATACATAGTTTTCAAAGAATTACTAGTTTAAAAGACACACCAATTTAAAAACAAATACAGGCTTTGAAATCAAGTCTGGTAAAAGGTATTTTCAATTTATTATCCTAAAAATAAAGTAGAATATTTATTTTCAAACTCAACCTGCTCACTGCTAAGTTTATACTGTTAAATCAGGAGTCAGGAATTTAGCTCAGTGGTTCCACTGCCTGCCCAGTAAGCACGATCCCTGGTACAAAAAACAAAACAAAAAAAAAACACTAAAAACAAAATTGTCCAGTTAAGCTATTTTTAGTTGTTTTGTTAATTGAAGTTAAAAATATTTCTGACAGATAAAACTGCATGTCAGAGATACACAATGGTTCCTAGTTATCACAAATGACCATTCAGAAATGACCATTCGTGGAAGTATGGAAAAATCAGACATTTAAAAATAGGGATAAAATATCTACATATAACTACAGATTATAGAAAAATAAAACCTACAGAAAGCCACTAACACCATCAAATGCACATTTGAGGCAGGGGACAGGAAATAACAAAACAGAGTGTATGTGGCAGAGGACTACTCTGTTTATCAAAATCCTGTTTTCTTTTACTCTTGCCTTAGCATGTAGGAGACTGGTGCTACAAGTTCAAGTGGGTAGAAGTAGTAATCCTGTATCTGTGGTTGATACCCAAAAGCTCCCAGGTAGTCCTTCCCTTCCCTATATGTGGACCAAATGGAGAAAATCTGATGTAGAATCAAGGATTGGGAGGAGCCTGTTACTTTTTGCAGCAGAGTTCCTCCTTGAACCTAGTTAGGTTAATGATGTGAGCAAAGCAGTATTGTGATCAGCCCCTGAAACTTCAGGATCATGACTGCAGCTAGCACCCCTTCTCCTAATAGAAGTGGGAGTGGGGATGAGAAGAAAAGAGAGGATAAATGTAGAAAACCATGATGGGGGTAGGGGTACATGATATAAATAGTAAGAGCACTATTTGGCCTTTCTAGAGAATTCTCAACTTGACCTAGATAACTGCTATTTATGACACATTCAACAAAACTTTTAATATTTAGGATAAATAATTCTTTTATTTTCTTTTTTGCTCCCCTTTAAAGCCAACATGCAGGCTTGATGCTCTTGATTACATCTTTGGAATATTATGATTTTTAAATTGTGTGAGATTGTATCTCTAAGTAATTGGTCAAGAAGAAAGTCTTTGCTAAAACTTAACATCAATTATTTTTTAAAATTTTTATTTTTTAACATAAATTTAAATGTGTATAATAATCCCTTGAAAAATAATTCTGGCATTTTAATGACATACTCCAATGAAGTTTTTCTTTATGACCAATGAAAGTTAATAGTTCAATCTGTTACTGGTATAAAGTTCAAACCTAATTACTCATTCCTTGCCCAGGTTGCACTGTCCTAAAGAAAATGACATACATCAACTATCAATAAGGATGCAAGACACACAAGCCAACTGATAAATTATATATTATATGTTTATTAGGGTACAACTTTTATGTAAAATTTACATTTTATGAAAAATCAAAAAAATTTACAAAATTTTGGAAGATAGATATGCATTGTTCTAATTACAACCCAAAGTAGTAAAAACACTTGGTAGGAGTTCTGTGTTTACAAATTCCTGGTTAAAGAGACAGCTACAAAGTTTTACCACTATACATAAGCAAGAACCAGCTTGCTAGATACATTTCCCACTGAAAATCTACTGGTATTTTTTACACTATTAGTGTACTTGTAAATGAAAAAATCAATAAAACTTGTATGGCTTCAAAATTGTAACCTATATCCAATATAAATTTATGTATCAACACTTGGTATGAAGACTGTGGTAATTAACAAAGTGCAGAAGTTTAACCATTTCACTAATTTGCATGTTTTTAGGTAATACTTGAATTTTTAAAAACATGGTGAGTGTAACAGAGTCTGAATTCCAAGAATAAAATATTAACTGCACGATAAAAGCAGTTTGATTGCAAGGCAGATTTATAGTTAAAATTCCAGTAAAGCCTGTAATTGGCATTTAAAAGAGATTAATATAAGAATTAGAAATTCTAATTTTGCTATTTAGTACAGACTAACATTTTAGAAAATTGTCTTAGGTATTGCTCTAGTCAAATCTAAATTTAGAACTGGGCTAACATTGAATATATAAAAATACAAATGCTGTGTTATATATTGCAAAGGAGTGAATTTTTTGCTATATTTAGTATAGCAAGACATTACATAAATGTCTAGGAATAGGGGTTTTATTTTCTGTAAAGCACAACAAAACAATTAGTGGTTTATATAAATTATCTCATGTAACACAAGTTATCACTTCAATGATGTAAAATGAAGACTGGTATTTATCATCATAAATAATTCCCACTTCTAGATTATGAAACTTTTGACTAAAATATGTCATTTCTTTAATCAGAATTTGCTACAAAGTTAGGCTTTGCACTATTTAGAATGTGTAGCCCATTTTAAGAAATGCTTAGCTTAATCTATCACTTTAAATAATTTACCTATTTTTACCATATAGTAAAAATAGAATAACAATAACATACAAATTGGTAATTTTTCTGTTGAAATGAAACAAAAAACAGTATTTCTCCCCCACTGCCAAATTCATTTTTGGGGAGGCCAAGGATTTAGCTCAGTGGCACTGCACCTGCCTTGCAGGCAGCAAGGTTCTGAATTCAATCCCTGGTACCAAAAAAAAAAAGTATTTCTCAGAAAATACTACAGAACTCATGCTTCACAACATAATTAGTAAATGTATAAATTTTCAATGACAAATAAAGACAAGGGAAATGATGTTAAACTGAGAGTTAAGACACCAGTTACCAATTTGCCATCACAGTTTTTCAGAATTTGTCTTACTTTTGATGAGGTTAATGTCAAATATCTGAAAGTAATTTTTTTCACCAGTAAACATAAACCATTAGGTTTCTTTTTGGTGGTTACAGTGTACCACTAAAGAAGTGAGCCAAGGTTCTTAAATATAAACTATCCTTTAGTTATTCTGAATTCCCCCTCCCAAATGCAGGTCAAAAGTATTCACAAAAATTGCAAATGTCCTGCAAAAACTATTTGACCACTGTAAGATTCTGAATAGAAGATTCAGACTGTGAGAAAAAAAGTGAGGCACATTAATGCACAAAAACTAGATAGGCACATTTCTGGTTTCTGTTATTGTTTTTAAAAGGCACATATTATGCAATCCATATAAAAATAAATTAAATCTACAGCATTAATCATCAAAACAATCACTTCTATAAAGTTAATTAACTGCAGAAGTAAATTCTCTGCTTTTTGCAAGCTTATTTTAAAACACATTGCACTTGAGAATTTTTTAAAAAATCATATAAAACACCATTTACACTTTATTAATATGTTTATGAGAATCAAATTATATATTTTTTGCATACCTCATGGACTCTGCGCTCTGATTATGGCACATAACTCAATCTGATTGAGTGCTCTTAGTTAACATCATCTAAAACGTAGAATTCACATTGTATCCATTCAAGATCAAACTTATGAAATCTCAAAATTTTTGTGACTCTAAACTTATGGAAAGCTAAATAATTTTGTGCTTGCTCTCCTGAAATTTTAGGCCTGACGTTACACTATAACTCCCTTTCTTCAACATAGACACTGAAGATAATTTAAATTTTCAGCTATGAAAGCTTCATTTTTATCAAGAATATGAAGAAATACGTTCCTGAATATTGCATTTGATCATTTGCAGTGTAAAAAATCATTTCAGTGCTATTTCCTTTAATGACTCACTTTAAAAGTGCGATTTAATGTTTGTAGTCAGTTCTCAAATATAACTAAGTTTGAAAGACAACATACAAGTTAGAATAGTGTTTGGAAAGAACAGGTAATGCAGAATGGCAGGTTTGTACTGCTCGCTCGAGCCACCACTTTCCCAGGATGATCAACAATCTGCCAAGTATCGTCCTGAAAAACAAGCAGACCTTTGCAATTACTGTTTCAAATATACATTTCTCACTTCCCATCTGCTGTTTATAATACATTAAACTCATATCACAGGTGTTCAGCTATGACAACCATGGGAACTCTCCCTACCAGCTGTGTCTCCAATTAGACACTTTATACCAAAAGCCAAAAATTTCTTTGTCATGCCTTTAGATTATGAAGTACTGGACAGTTGTTCAGCAAATGTTAAGAGTACAAATGTTTCCTATGCATATTAAAAAGTTAAAAATCTCCTAACTTACCAGTGGCAAACCGCTTCTTTACTAAGGAAAGTCTATAGCCAGTGCCAACAAGTTCAATATCAACTCCTGAGAGGGTACTTCCCTCGCTGAGGAATTGTACTGCAAGTGTTGCAGGCTTACTGGGACCTTCTGAAAGATCAAATTTTGCTCTGAGGGACCCAGAACCTATAAAGAAAAGAATAAAGAAATTACATGGGGTAAAATATACAGCATACCAAATAAAATCAAATGAGCATAGACCCTAAATTATATCAGTTCTATGTTAAATTCATGAGATGTGTATAGTGAACAAGCCACTACTTTAAATATCAGGTTTTGTTCAGTGAATCTAAATTTTCATTAAATATGTAATCCTAATCCATCCTTTTCTTTTACTGAATAGTAATCTTTAGAGGTGTTTACTCTCATGTTGAAGTGGATCAAAAAGAAAAGGAATTGATGAGAGGGAAATCCTGGAAGGGACGCAGCCCAGGACAGAGTACAGAAGAAATAACAGCTGAGTACCAGATCATGGGGAAGAGATAGGCAAAGAGGAAAAAGTAGCTACTGTTGGGAAGAGTTGGTTAACGTTACTTATTTTCTATTTATTTTTCTTTTTAAAATTTTTGTGGTCTGACATTATGCCTTACATATCTCAGAAGCCCTTTCTTTTTGATAGAAACATTTAGTTAGCTCATCTGTATGCATGGCATACAGTAAAATAGTAATAATATGATAAATGCTGTGAAGGAGCTCTCAGGAGCTGTAGGCACAATAACACAGATCTCTACCGAAAACTGTAGGTGGTGCTGGTGATGATGGTGTGTATTTAATGCATAAGTAACTACATACACAGAGACTGGGAACTTATGCCAGCACGATGTATTGACAACTCCATCTATACCAGAATAGCTGGACAACAGACACACATAGAAATAGCAGCAGAAAAGACCACCAAGGACCAGGCCCTGTTAATAAATGTAAGATATAAATACAGGGAATAACCCAAGAGATGGAAGACAAGAATCTCTCAGATTAGTGTCCTAGAAAGGAGAGGAGGGGCAAGATGAAAAGTCTGGAGTCCAACTCAATGAAACAGTTTAGGATCGTTCTAGGTGACAGAAGGGGATTTGAACTAGGGCCAGGGAAAGGAAAGAACGGAATGCAACTGAAAGATAGCTAGGAGTTGGAATTAAAAGGTAAGAAAGAAGTAGGAGTCTAGAAAGTTTCTGGTTAGGGCAACTGCACGGAACTGCTGGATAACAAGAGAAAGACCATGTGAACCCCTATAGAGAAGTTTAGCACTACAGAGCAGGGTTGAACAACACCACTATGCCTGGTAGCACACATCAGAGTGGAGATGAACTACTGCTTAATTCTTAACCAATGTCCAGTCTTAACAAGCAATCAAGTTCTGTCAAAGTTCTGCTTATGTGCATAAAGCAGCCACCGTGGCAGTCCTTAAACTTTGGAATTATTTCCTGTCCCTTTTCTATGAATAGTGCCAGAAAAAAACAGATTTGCATTTTACAGTATTTGGAGTTGAATATTTATATGCAAAGGCTCAACTAACCACATCAAAACCATTATTTGTAAATTTTTTATTTCCTCACACAGTTACATCTGATACCTAATAGTAGAGGGAAACTATTAAAATATATGGTCAAAAAATTAGATCTTATTTTTGAGAGAACAAGTCCCGTTCTTAGTTAAGAATTTATTCCTATTACAATAGCATCCCAAAAAATGAAGTATCTAGGAATCAATCTAACAAAAGAAACAAAAGATCTCTACAATGAAAACTACAGCACTCTGAAAAAAGAAATCGAAGAGGATATAAAAAAATGGAAAGATGTCCCCTGCTCCTGGGCAGGAAGAATCAACATAGTGAAAATGGCCATACTACCAAAACTGCTATATACATTCAATGCAATGCCAATTGAAATTCCAACACTATATTTCACAGAACTAGAAAAAAGAATCCAAAAATTCATTTGGAACCACAAGAGACCTAGAATAGCAAAAGCCATTATAGGCAACAGTCACATGGCACCAGGTGTAACAATTCCCAATTTGAAACTATACTACAAAGCCACTGTGATAAAAACAGCATGGTACTGGCAAAGAAATAGGCCTGAGGATCAATGGAACAGACTGGAAGACACAAAAACAAATGCAGATGTACTCAGCTACCTCATCTTTGACAAAGGAGCTCACCATCCTCAGTGGAGGAAAGATAGCCTCTTTAATAAATGGTGTTGGAAAAACTGGATATCAACCTGCCACAGATTAAAATTAGACCCTTATCTTTCGCCATGCACTAAATTAAAATCCAAATGGATTAAAGATCTAAATATTAAAACAGAAACATTAAACTTGCTGGAAAGTAAGTTAGGCAGAACTCTGGAAGACATTGGTATAGGAAAAGACTTTATGAACAAATCCTCAGTAGCACGGGAACTAGCAGAAAGAATCAACAACTGGGATCTCATCTTACTAAAAAGCTTCTGTACTTCAAAAGAAACCATTAGCAGAACTAAGAGACAATCTACAATGTGGGAAAAAATTTTTACCAGCTGTACCTCAGACAAAGGACTATTATCAAGGATATATAAAGAACTCAAAACAATCAGTCCCCCCAAATATAAAGACCCGATCCAAAAATGGGCATCCGAAATGAACAGACATTTCTCATACAAAGAAGTGAAAGCAGCAAGAAAATATATGAAAAAATGTTCCACATCACTGGTCATTCGAGAGATGCAGATGAAAACAACACTGAGATTCCACCTCACCCCACAAAGAATGGCTGCTATCAAGAAATCACACAATAACAAATGTTGGCGGGGTTGTGGGGAGAAAGGAACCCTCCTCCATTGTTGGTGGGAGTGCAGACTAGTGCAACCACTATGGAAATCAATATGGAGATACCTCAAAGAGCTTGGACTGGAGGTTCCATTTGACCCAGCCATCCCTCTGTTGGGTATCTTTCCAAGAGAACTAAAAGAATCATATCACAGAGAAGTATGTGCACCCATGTTTATAGCGGCACAGTTTGTAATAGCTAAATCTTGGAAACAACCTATTTGCCCATCCGTTGGAAACTGGATAAAGAAGTTGTGGTTTTTCTATAAAATGGAATATTACTCAGCCATAAAGAGCGAGAGAATAGATTCATTCATAGGAAAATGGATACATATTGAAGATATACTCCTAAGTGAAATAAATAAGTCCCACATGTGTAAATACCAAATAGTTTCCCTGGTGTGAATATTCTGCAACAATGCATAAGATTCTAATAAGATTACTGACATTTAGAAATTTGAAGAAAGGAGCTAAAGGTGTAGGGAAGGTGTGATGCGTAGGGGAAGAACAAAAAGGGAAAAGAAAAAAATGTGAGAGAATGAAAAGATGAAAATAAAGTGTTTGTAGATGGGGAGGGGAGGAGGGGGTGAAGGGAGGGCAGAGGTAAGGGGAAAAAATGAGAATCAAGACTTGCCATGTAAAGGTACATGATCCCAACAATGAATGTAACTGTACTGTATCCCTAAAATGTACCAATAAACTCAATAAAATTAAAAAAAAAAGAATTTATAATTACAGTATACTTTCATTAAATAGAGAAAGATGCTCTTCCTTATTAGCTGTTTTTAAATTGTCAATGTAAGTAGGATTTCTTATTTACTTCCAGTTTAAACTAGGAATTTCAACATGATTTCCACAATGCCATATTGCTAGGGTATAAATCAATTCAGCTGACCACCTTAAAACTAGTAACCTTTAAGTATCAAAGATCAAAAAGGAACTGTAGATTAGCTTGGTTATTTCACCCAAAGTATGGTTCAGTTAGTAAAAGTCTGATTCCTCATAATAGATATAAATGCACAGATAATATAAGTATTCATGGTCTTTTACATATAACTATTAGGAAAAACTGATACTACTATATGCTCAAAATGTTCAAAAATATTGAATAGATGGAAAAGCAAAAGCATAAAAAAAAAAAAGAAAAGCAAAAGCAAACGACACTAGTGGAGAGAAATTACTGCAGGCTAATTAGGCATTCAAAGGGATGCAGGATATTTCTTTTTTAATTAAGAGAAAATGAGACCATCTACTATTAAAGTCTTAACTGTCCTGCGAATTACGTACTAATTTTAAGTTGAGTAAGGGGCGATATAAGGGATAACAACTAGCAGAGACTTTTTCTTTTGCATTGTAAACACAAAAAGGTGCAGGCTTAGTAGGAGGCAATTAACTTGCTTCTCCTTAAAATGTAATCACAGAATTAAAGACTGGTGATGTTAGTTCTAATGGGGGAAATGACCAGAAGGGTCCTTTTAGCAAGATGTGAGTAGAGAGGTGGCTTTTTAAAGCTTGGAAGCTTCTGTAATACAGTTTCTTGGGGACCAGGAGGACATCATTAACAGAATGAATTAAACAATGTGTTAAATCAGTTTCAATTAGTTATGAGGTTACTTACCTCAGAGAGACAATTCTATTACTCTAAATTTATTTCATTAGGTATTTTTCTCAATGTTGGAACTTAAATAAAAACATTTATACATTTATAAAGTAGCAAAACAAGTTCATTTTCTTGCAGAGAGCTTTTTTAATCTAGAAAGGAAAAATGCCTGGATTTTAGCTAGTCTATTCTTATATAAGGTATTAACTTCCACCTAGTGGTCAATTCTAGAACTGAAGGCATAAAGTTGTAGGAAGAAAACTCCATAAATATACCTCAGAAAAGCAAAGAGGCTGTGGGTATAGCAATGGTAAAATGCTTGCATAGCATGTAAGAGACTCTGGGTTTGATATCCAGCACTGAGGCGAGGGGAAAGGAAAGAGAAATCCATTTTCAGTGATATCACATTGTAAATAAAAAGCATGCATACACTTACCTCCATTTTCTGATTTTTCTGAAATACCAGACAATTTCCAAAAGGCTTTCATTTGTTCTGCATTCCTGTAATGATAAATATCTTCAGATTAAGTGTCTAATATAGTACTTTAGACATGGATGAGCACTCCAAAATAAATGCATTAAAATATTTTTACTATACCTATGGCACTCAGTTTAAATAAACAGTGTGACTTGGTAAAAATGTGTTTGATATAGCATTAAGTAAAATGCCGCATTTTTCTCAGTTAATGGAAGTTTTACCAAATTATAGGACTCCCCTCATTTGTACTGGTCAGGAAAAGGAAAACATGTATATGTGGTTCAGTATCTTAATTAGTCAAGAAAAGCATTGTTATGAAATGATGGAGCAAATACCAAGAGCTGTTAAGAGTGTATACTAGTATTACGAGAGGGAACAAGGGAGGCAGTTAAGAGACAGGAGTTCTAATAATACTGAACACTAATAATAGGTGCTCCTACAAATATGCCAGATGCTATATTTAAAAATAATTATTATCATTTGTTTTAAGAGGTTAAGCAATTTGTTTAGGGGAAAGTTAGTAAAGAACCATTCACATCTGGTGGTACTTAGTGTTAAACTAGTTTTGTTTACTGTGGACCAAGGCTACTGTAGTTTGACTAGTAAAATGAATAGCAACTTTTATAGCATGGCTTCTACACAAAAATGCACTACAACTTTTCAAAATTACACCTTTTAGAACTTGGGTTTAAAAGTTGAGGACTGAAACAGAAATGTGGCATGAATTCACAAATATATTTATTTACCATACTGCAGGGGGAAGAGACTGCATATTTGTGACTCCTCCATCCACTGGTACTACCACCTGTATATTGGAAAGCACACTAGGAGCCATCATAGCTTCTGGATTATATTTATAATCCACTCTAAGATCTGTGGTACTGGCACTACATTTCCAATATGTTGCCAGATTCAAAGGAGTAGACTGAATGCCATTTGATGATACCTTTGAAGAAAGAAAAACAAACGAAAAAAATTGTCATTGGTCTGAAAAAGTCACACTCATGATAAAGATATTTGCACATAAGAGTTTACAGAATCAAAACTATCTAACAGGACTATCTTTTGCTAGGCAGAGTAAAGCAGACTCATATCAAAGGAAGAAGGGTCACCTTAGTGTATGGACCCAGGAAGACCAACATCAAAACTGCCATATACTTGTTTATAATGTGTTCCATGGGATCCAACTGCAGAAAATCTGACTCAACAGCTGAAGGACAATGCCCAGAAACTGGCATGTTATCTGGTGATTCTTATTTGTGTAATATCTGAGAACTTTTCAATATTCAAAATAGTATTTTAAGATGTTTATGAATTACAACAATTTAGATTTAAAATAAGAAAAAAAGGAAGGTTGACCATACAGTTCCACAAGCCCGGAATTAGAATATTTCAAATATTTTAAATCACATGACCCATGGTCAGTAAAATAATTCCATTTCTTCACCTTTTTGCTCAAATGTCTCCTTTTCAACCCATTTCAAAGGCTACCTTGGCCACTCCGGTTCAAATCTTTACTAACAAACAAACAGATGTTCAATCTTTCTTATCTTACTTTATGCCCTTTCTCCATACAACTTATTTACTAACATACAGTATTAATATGTTTATTGCCTCCCTGTACTACTCCCAGCAATTAGGGAGCGCTGAATAATATATGTCTGCTCATTGAAGGAAAAAATGAGTATCTTGTAATAAGCTTTAAGTCAATTTGCATGGCAACGTTTTTTAAGTACAGCACTTATTTTCTAGAGATAAGCCATTTTAATTCATTCACTCTACTAAAAGTTCAAACAATGCAGAAGTATATAAATCAGGAAATTTATCTCTTGGTGCTTTTTAATGGTGCTGGGATGAAACATAGGGCCTTGGACATTGAGCAAGTGATGTATAGCTAAGCTACACCCTCACCCATCCCTTCTCGCTGTACCACTCAGTGGGACATAGCCTCCCTGACTATTTAAGTATATACAAACATGACTCCATCTCATTGTTTTTAATCAGTTTTAATTCATTTAATCCAGTCCTTCCTCTCCTGATGAATATTGGTTCCTAAGCAATACTGCACTAAGTATCTGAAGAACAGATTAAAGAGTGGAAGTGTTGAATTAAAAGGTTACACCGAACCAACAATCTAATACCATTGCCTTTGTGTAGATTTTGAGTTAGGGATTGAACTTCATTTCTTTCCCAAAATATCTGAAACATTCTATTAATTCATATTGCTGTTTCTCATTTCTGTGATATGATGCACTAAAACTGATTATCTCATCACTTTAATATTCACTGTTCAGTGACATGAAGCAACCATAAGTTACTTCCATAAGTTCCATAAGTTACCTGTTTACTGAGTTATTCATATTTTACTTACTAATTTATAAGGGTTCTTTGGGGTAACTCCTTTAGTCTTTCCTATATAATGCAAATACTATTCCTTCAGAATTCTGATTAAGGGTTTTTAAAAACAAATATTTTATGCACAAACTTTCATTATCTCACTCGCTTATATAACTTTCAGGTTTTGGATTATACTTAGGTCTGCTACACTTCAATATTAAAGTATATACTAAATATATAGTACACATATGTACATATATATAGACACCCCTCTAACAACCATATTCCATTCCTGTGGATAGATCACTAAATGAATTGGTGAACTGGTTGCTAAATGAGGAATTGTATATAGTATGTACCTTATAATATTCAGAAAAAAGAATGGTCAAAGGAAACTCCAACTTGATGACTTTGCTTTTATTTCCATAGCTCTTACATACAGTACTGCAATGTATAACAATATAAAACTACAGTACTGTAGTACAATCAGCAAAACTTATGGTACTGTATAAACAAAGTGTATTATACCAAAAAAGGACAATGAGGCTCTATAAACAAGATGTACAAAACTATACCCTCCCCCAAAAAACAATGTGTCATTAAGTCCAAGCTGTAGGTTGTAAGCATGAACAGCATGCCTTGGTTATAAGCCTGAATAATTGTTAAACAGGTAAGAATATATATGAGGAAGACATATATATGAGGGATATATATGTCTATGTATATAGATGTATAGATATATGCAGACACACATACACATATATGTTCATTCATAATTTATTTTAGTCCCTGCATGATTCTACTTGTTATTAAACCTTTTGAAAAACTATTTTTTTCCATTATGTCTTAAAGTGCTACTTTCTATTTATTATTTTATATTTATTATTAGATCTATTTCTGGATACTTTAGTCTGTCCCATTCATCTGACCAGCTACTGCTATAACAGATCCAAACTATTCTAAATACTGTCACCTTCTAACGAACTCCTATAAAAGCAAAAAGGTTACTTCATTTTACTATTTAAAACATTTCTTTTTGTTTCTTTTTTTTTTTCTTTTTGTTTTTTGAGACAAGGTCTCACTGTAATTCAGGCCAGGTTTCAATTCACTATGTAGCCCAGGCTGGCCTTGAACTCCCAGTGATTCTCCTGCCTCAGCCTCCCAGAATGCTGGGATTACAGGCATGTGCCACCATACTGGGCTACAATTCTTGACTTTCTTTGAGAATGTGAAAATGATTATCAAGTCTCCAAACAAATATGGACATACTTTTACTGGGTTTCTGATCCAGATTACATTAAATTTATAAGTGAGTTCAGAGACAATTATACTTTTCGTAACATGAATTTTATTTTTCTAAATATATCAATTTATTAAATGAATATATTCCTTCCTAAATATATTCAAGTCAAGAGATTATGTTACAGTGGTGCCTCAGTTCATGAATGCAATTCTCTCCACAATTCCCTAACTGGACGCTAACAGAATCAAATTTCCTCATAAGGCCAATATTGTACCTAACCGCTAAATTTTAATTTGGTTCTCATCCAACTTGATTTGCAACTAGAATCATGGAAAGAATCAAGTTCATGAAAAAATGTTCCACTGTATATTTCTTCCTGTTTTTTACTGAGTATTTTTCTCTATCTTCTAACTTTTACATAGTAATTTTCAGACTGATTTTTAAACTGGCTACGTTACTTAATTCTCCTATGTCACAACAGTTTTTCATTTGATTCTCCTGAGCTTTCTAGAAATATATCATATGCAAATGATTAATTTGGTGACTTTTCCAATGTGTATTACCATTTATTTCATTCTCTTATTTAACTATACTGATGACATATCTAGAAAAACCTTCAGTTCTGTTGGTACTGAAGGAATAATGAATGTTTGTTATATCTGACTTAACTGATTGCTTCAGGTGTTATTAAGATTAATGCAGGTAAGGGTATTCATATTTACTCAGTATTTTAATTATAAATAGATGGTAAAATTTTTAAGCTGGTTAAAATATTTACTCATCTCTTAACAGAGTTTCTAATTCTGTAAAATCCCTGCATGCTTACGATGAACCTCATTTGGCTATGACGTATTTATTCATTTAGTGACATGCTAATTCCCATTTGTTAATGTTTTAATTTAGCATTTTACAATGACATAACACTCACCTGATATTTTAATACATCTACATTATAGTAAGAGGCAGCTGGATTTTGCTCGGATAGCTTCTTGAGGTAGAGAGTAACAGCTTGCATGTTCATCCAAAAATCTTTTGTGTTAGAATCACACTGTGATGGATCACTGCATGTGCAAAAAACATTTTTGTTATTTTCCCTGACTTATCGTTTTTCCTTTGCCTCTATGTAAAAATTTTGTAAACTGAGGAAGATCAGTGGAAACCAAAAGAAGGATAAGGGAAAACTAAGATAAGAGGATCAAGAATGGAACATTGTAAAAGCTTTCCTGAAAGACAGAATGATACAAAATGGTTTAAAATTAACTATTACTACCACCAAAAACAAAATAAAGACAGCAGGTCATAGATAATTTTTTCAAAGAAGGAAAACATTTACACAAACCTGAACACAAGTTGTGCATTTGGAAGAATTTGCTCAAGTCTGCTGATATTTTTCACTCTGAAGCATAGCACAGCCGGAGACGGATTGCTAGTGAAGACCTTAATAATTCCACTTGGAAATGATATTGTCACATCACCAGTGATCTTTACAATACACCTGAAATTGGGGATGTTGACAAGTTATTAAATAAGATGCTTTAATCTCCACTTAAAGCATATATAAGTAGAATAATAATACAATATATAATTATAACAATACATATAATTATGATATATAGCCTTTATTATAATTCTACTTATTTATTCAATTTGATTATAAAAAATGATTCTACACAAAATGACACACTCATCTAAGCATCATTTTTTATTGGCATTAAATTCCAAATATGAATACAAGCACACTGATGACATTTATTTTTTTTGTGGTACCCATTTCCTGGATGACCTGTAAGGACACTGCTTCCCTGGTTAACACTGTCCCGAGTTGTAGCCATTTCCCCCTCTTACAACCCACACAGCACTAGGCCTGAGGTGGTCATGTGGATGTTTCTCTTCACTCTGCCTCGTCCAGCCCGTTTATTCTTCCTTAGAAACTCATGTATTAGACTGTACTACTCATGGGCTACAGATGTAGCTCAGTGGTGAGTGGGTTCTTAGCATACCTGAGGCCCTGAGTTCAATTCATCGCACAAAAAACAAACCAACAAACACAACCCCCACACAACCAAATACTACTCACTACCCCATTCCTTTCCACCCATCTTCAACACTCACTTGCTGAAAATTGGAGTTCCTGGATCACTGTCAGTCTATCTTTACTCCACTACTCCTATCATAAGGTTTAATGATTTAAATATCTACCCCTATCAACACCTGGTCACTTAGTTTTTTCAGCCTCTTACCTCTAATTTCCTATCTTTCAGCCTATCTCAGTCATGCCACAAAGCCCCTCCATACTCTCAATTTCAAACTCCCAATTCACCTACTTGCCATTTGTGATTTTTGTAACTCATTCTGCCTTGTACATTTTTAATAATTCTCTAACCTCATCAAAACTCCAAAAGCCACTGTTCTCATCATCTCTTTCATTATTCTTCACTCATCCATTAAATCCTCATTTCCTCTTATTTTCAGACTCCCACGCCCATTGTTGGCTACTCTCCTTTGTATATATCCTCCATTGCTCTTCTTGCACTGTGCTTGACCAAACTGTCTCAACTAAATCCAGCTCCCTACCCACATCTATATAGCCGGATGTACTAGAAAAAACATAACCACACATCCCAAACTCTTAAATGGCCCTCTTTAATTGTGGTAGTCCAACCTGGTAATCCAACATGTTCTTGTCTAATCACTCTTCTGCTTTTTTCATAGTCTTTTTGTCATTTAACCTGCAATATACTTTACCCCACACTCTCAGCTGGTGACTTTGCTTTGAATATTTTTTTTAAAACTGGGGATCGAACCCAGGACCTTGTGCTTGCCAGACTGCCACGCCGCCACTGAGCCACATCCCCAACCCTGTGCTTTAAATTTTATTGCAAAAGATCAGGAAAAAACCTTCCACTCTCTCTACTAAACTCCCAATCTACCTAACTCTTCATCTGTATTTTCTGCCTTCCTTACTGTTTCAACAGATGACCATTTCTGTACCTAAAGCCAAATGTCCTGAATGTGCCCTGGAGGTTACCTCTGATCACATACCTAAGTCCTCCTCACTCACGCATTGTATGTTCTCCTTTCTGCAGGTCTCACTTCCCCCATAAATACTATTTCTCATTAGCATACAGACATGCTGAGACAACTATCACTGTTTTAGTTTTATCAGCAAGCTAAGATAAATAAAATGCTCCTCTGATGCTGCTATATCACTCCTGCTACCGTTCCATTTCTCTGCTTTCTTGGAGCAAACATCCAAAGAATTACCTACATTTATTCTGTCCAAATACAGTTGTCTAATGCACCCCTACTCCCTCCAAGCAACCTTTCATCTCCACTACAACCCTACAATCGTTATGAAGTTTACCAATGGCCAGGTTTTCTTGATCTGTTGGCAGCATCAGATATAGCTTTGCAACTCCCTTGATGAAATGATTTATTCATTTAACCTCAGGTGCCACGGATTTAGCTCAGTGATTCCACTGCCTGCCTCACAAGCACAAGGTCCTGAGTTTGATCCCCGGTATCCCCCCCAAGCCCCCCCCCAAAAAAGATTCATTTAACCTCAGGATAATGCTCTACTGATTCTCTCCTTCCCTCTCTTGCTGCTGTCTCGAACTTTTTTGCTAGGTCATCCCTATCTGTTTTCAGCACTGGAGGAGAAAAGACTTAGTTCTCCAATCCCTTTTCTATCTACTCCTTAAGGAGCAACTTTAACTAAGTATATTTTATCTCTATTGACAAAACTCCAGAATTACATACACAACTATCTACTCAACATCTCCACTAACATCACTTAACAATTACTTCAAACTTAGCATTCTGAAAAAAAAAAATCTTAGCATTCTATTCCCTTAGCAAATCTTGACAACTGCTTTCAAAACATTCAGAATCCCATTCCTACTCACCACTTCTGCTAATGTCCTTACTCAAATACCCATCACCTCTCACCTGGACTTCTGTAGCCAGTCCTCTAATGCTCTGCATCTGCTCTGGCTCCTTCCAGTTTATTCTCAACACAGGGCCAATACTCCTTCAAAACATAAATCATCTCAATGCTCCTCTGTGCAAAGCTTCCACTGGCTTCCCACCTCACTCAAACTAAATTCCAAACTCTTTATCACAACCCACAATGCCCAACCTAACCTGGTGTCACTCTGCATGATCTTCAACTACTCTTCCTCTTGTTTACCCCTACTCAGTGACATGGCTCTCCCTGTTGTGTCCTAAATATGCCAAGCATATTTATCCCAGATCCTTCCACTCATCAGTTCCTTCTTTCCTAGAATGTCATCCCTCCAGATGTGCACAGCTTGCTCTTACATATATTTCAAATACTTGGTTAGATTATCCTCAAAAAAGTTTTCCCCTGCCTAAAATAGCACTCTACCATTATTCTCTGCCTTCTTACTCAGGTTTATTTTTCTATCAATATCCAAACATATAGGTATCTACTTTAGTGTTCTTTTTTCTTGCTATAATGTAAGCTCAGCGCGAGCTTTGTTTTGAAGAATCTTTAGCACTCATTACAGAGTCTTACACATAGTAAGTGCTCAAGTATTTAGTGAACAAATGTATGTGAGATGAATATTATTATGCAGGAAAAGCATTGACCCAAATTAATTTTCTTTTCTTTCTTGGTTTTTTTTTTTTTTTTTTTTTTTTT